CAGGTGTACTAAACGCTTCCTAATTAATCTTTTGAGTACTTTGCAGGGGATGATCGTCCGTGACACTGGCCTGCAGTTGTGTGCCACTTCTCTATCTCCCTTTTAAAAATTGGCACCACATTTGCCTTCTTCCAGCACCTGGGAAATTTGACCTTTGTAAGTGGCTCACTAGAGGTCAGTGCTAGAGATCCGTTGAGAGCCTCTGCTGCTTGTCTTAACATACTCGGTGATGCGTTGTCTGGTTCAGTAGTGTTAGTCTAGCGATGCTAGTTGTTTCTTTACTTCCTGTGCTCATACTCACTGTTTCCTCAATATTTAAGTCTCTCATCTAGTGATTCCTCTTCTTCTAGCACTGGGAGCTGTTCAGGCTCAGTTCTGAACAATCCATGGAAACTGGTGTTTAGTTCCTCGTAACTTTCCTCATCATTTCCTGTACTTTCAGGAAATGAATATACAGAAAATTTCTTGCAATCTTTTCACTTATGCGATCACTGTCATTTTTGCTTATTATATAACTATGAGTAGTTTTGGTTGTTTATTTGCTTTAGAAGCAGAGTCAGTGTGGTAGTTTTCTTCTGTCACTTCTTATGTGTGTTCGTCCCTGGCTCTGTTAGACTTATTCACAGTTTCATCTGTCTTTTACCTCTGTAATTCATCCATGTTCTGCTGCTTTTTGTTTTTTATTTTTTTCAATGTCCATTGAACCGCAAGTTATTACATTTTCTTCCATCTTTTTTTTTATTGTTGGTATAAAACTCTCTTTAGCCTCTGCATCTCCATTTCACTTGATCCATCATTTCCTGTACTGTTTTTCACCCAAGTTTTATCTCTCATTGCACATTTTCCAGATACTTTGAGGCTGAGAGGCTGTTAGGAACCCGACTCCATCGTCGGAGCACGGAGCAGCGACGTCACTGCCATCTGTGAGTCCGCTCCCGAAACCCCCCACAAAATGGACGACGCCATCTAGTGGTGGCAGGATGATACCAGCAAGAGGCGCTAGATTTATGTCATGGTCAGCTCGAGAGGTAGCTGGTGCTGACCTCTGGTGAGGTGGCGCCTAGAAAATCAGCGCCATCTATTGTAGGAGGAGTTGTATGTGTATGATAGAGTCCGTAAGTGGTGTTTCCTAGTGTCCCATATACTGACCAGTTTGCTGATGACGTGTCTGTATCCACAGAGGCGACGTAGGGCTGCTGTGGTACGAGGACAGTCGGTCTACCCAGGGCAGCCAATAGCTCTCTACTCCATTCTGCTTTACGGAAGCAGTGAGCCGCCATCGAAGAGGAACTGGGTCGTGTTCTACGGTCTGCCTGTGATGTGGCAGTGACAGAATTCGGCGTATCCCGGGACTGGCTAGAGGAAGAGACGACCAACAGTGAGGTGCTACAGAGGAGTGTAACTAGCTAGTTGCAAGAAGCTCCTGCCAGGGGTTCGCTACCCTTGTATTTGTTCGTGTAGAGGCCCAGCAGTGCGAGGCTGATGTTCTCTGCCAGCACCAGGCTGGAGAGTGACTGTGGGCGTTCACAAGGAGCACCTAGTGAGACTGTAGACAGGCTGGCCCGTGGCTAGGGTAGACTCGTTGGTGTTTCCCAGTACTGGTTGAGGACGGTACTGTGTGTTGAGGAAACACGGTAGCTGACAAGGTTGCATTACACGAGGATTGAGGAGCGCTTAGTGTCCTATGAGAGTGACACTTGTGTATATATCAGTGTAGTAATACTTCCTTTATGATATTATATGAGGTGATGGGAAAGTGATTATATGTGAATATATTGATAATTAATGAAGTGTCGTATTCAATGCAACTCCCCCATTGTGTTTTACTTGCATTACCAAGCTCACTCCTTGAGAGCCACTGCTAACTTGGGGTTAGATACCAGAATTTTAGTTCCTCTAGCAAAGAACCCGGTTGCGACCCATTGTGACCGTAACAGAGGCAAATTGAGGTTGATAGGCTGAGCCACAGAGATAGGCTGAGTCACAGAGGTCTTGAGTTTGTGTGTAACATGTGTGTGTATTTACTATTTGTATTTACTATTTGTGTCTGCAGAATCGAGCTATTAGCTCTTGGGGCCCCGTTTTTCTAACCAATCTATTTTTCCTCTATTATATCTACTACATATTTTTCTTTCTAACACACACACACCCAGGAAGCAGCCTGTAGCAGCTGTCTAGCTCCCAGGTACCTGTTTATTGCTAGGTGAACAGGTGCGTCAGGGTGAAAGAAAATCTAGCCATTTGTTTCTGCCTCCGCCTGGAATAGAACCCGGGACATTAGGACTACGACCCAAGAGCGCTATCCACTCAGCCGCGAGGCCCTGGGTGTGTACTCACCTATTTGTATTCACCTATTTGTGTCTGCAGGATCGAGCAATGACTCTTGGCTCCTGCCTTGCGCACCATCGGTTATTGACAGCAATGACTCCGGTCTTATTTCCCTATCAAATAGGCAATGTGTGTGTGTGTGTGTGTGTGTGTGTGTGCTCACCTATTTGTA